TCTTTCAAAGTACAGTGTAAATTTTAACCTGTGTTTAATTGTGGCAGAAAAGATGATCTACAAAGGAAACTTTATCCGTGTTATTTCTTTCTTCTGAAAGAATTTTCACTTACTGCTTTACCAACACTTTATGTCTTTTCTCTTACAGCAGGTGAAAACTGAAGTAGCAATTTCAGTGCCCCTAGCTCTCAGTCTATAAAAGAAATAATTTAAAACAGTCTTCCAAATATTTATTATATGCCATAAAGATGCAAAAAGGGGACAAGCCTATTCCTTCCTCCCTCCTCCTCAGCTTTGGTATATTATTTCTCTTTAAGGAGCTGCTAGAGAGAGCTGTCTAGAGGCAATCTGGTTTTTATTATAAACATAGAGCCTCTCTCCCCTCCCACTCCCAACAGGGAAAACATGTCCTGGGTCTTCCAATAAGATAATTTTAAAGATTGTAGTGCAGTGATAGAGCTTGTAGTTTCGTGTTGCCCACACTGGGGGCCTTTGATAAGAGCCACACCTGGTTGGCATTGCTGCCTTCAGCTGCACGAAGTGGAAACCCTAAAACACCTGGGCATTTTCTGTGCTGACATTAACCTGCTCTGGAAGAGGTCTCTGACTTGGGGCAGGGTGAGGGGGAGGAGGAGTATTTCTGCTGCTCACTTAGTGCATCTAGCTTAGGTCAAACTAAGAGGACAGAAGTTAGGACTCCAGACTCCACCTGCAATTAATGGAGAGGTATTTTCAGGGGTAGTTACCTCAGAAAAAAACCCCAGAAAACAGCAGCAAATAATTTGCTGCTGGAGTCACCATTCACAGTTACCAGCAATGGGCTAACAGTAGCAGGGGGACAGAGGGGTTGAACAGACCAAGAAAAACTTAGTACTGATATAGTTTCAACATGGCAGCATCTGTTACAGTTTTAGGGTACAATTTTATGTCATTTCTTTGGCAACAAAGACAGCTTAAAAAGTTTCCTCTGCTGCCTGCTGGTATCCAGCTCTTGCAGAGCTTTTTCCTGTCTCCCATAGGTCTCTCCGTCCATGTTCTGTAACAGCTTGTGGGACCCTCCAGCAAATCGGATTACTAAAATGACTGGGGTTTTGTTGGGAGGTGCTTTTTTTGTTTAGAAACAACAAATGTTGTGGAGTGTTTGTTTTTGTTTGCCCAGAACATTTCAATGATCTGGTTTGGGCTAAACCCACAAACCATGGCACAGCTGGGCAGGAAGAGGAGCAGACTGCAGCACCAGCATCTATCTGCTTGTGCCTGAAACCCTCTCCAGCTCTGCTGTTAAAGGAAATACAAAGGGACTACACAAACAGCGTGAGCCTCTCTGATAAATAATGACCTGGTTTTGCATACCCAAGTTTCTGGAATATTGGCTAAGCCCTGGAAGCAAGTCGAACATGTTCATTTTGGACTTCAAAAGAAAATGACAGTTTCAGCTTCTGGGTCCCTGAGTTTGCCATGTTTGACGTACTAGATTAAAAGCCAGGTTTGGAGACAGACTTATTTTTTTTGTTTTTTTGTAACATATAAACCTGCCATTTTATGTAGTCCTTGTCTCTTCCTACAACTGTATGAATACAACCCATGGTGGGGAAAGGTGTCAAAAAAAAAGCACATCATTTAAAGTGTTTACTTTCTCTTGCTTTCTGTGAAGGGCTAGCAACCTCTTTTACTCTGTACTTACTCCTGTACTGGCACAGACACTCTTGACTTTCCTCCATAACCTTTTCCGATTAGCCTGACCTGGATGATGCTGCATAATCCTCTCTCCTGTTCTAGAAAAATGGAGATGAGTTAAAAGACTAGAGGAGGAGCAACAAGACCTTTTCGGACCCTCCCTTCAGTCCATCTCATTCCAAAGCATCGGGAGGACTTCTGATCCCCTTGTGATGCTCTTGCCCTCAGCCCTTGAGCCCAGGCTTGCTAGGAGACTAGTTTTACTGTAGCAGTTCCTGAATTTACAGTTTTATCACTTCAATAGTAAGGCTTTCTTTTTACATTAAATTATTATCGAATCTTTTTTCCTGTTTCTTTCTCGAGGTGTTGGTTTGGGTTTTTTTCTTTTTCCCCTTTGCTCCTGCAGTCAGATGTACCCTGCAAATGGCACAGACAGTGCCTCCTATTGTGGCTTAGGCTCAAGACTTCACATATGTAAAATGTGACTTGCAGCACTTTCTTTGAAGCCTAACCACAGCCAGGGAGCTGTAATTGCAGTCTTTGATTTGTGCCGACTTCACTTGTGGATTGGGCTGTGCTAGGGCATGCCTCGCTTGGCGAGACTTCAGCTGCAGCCCCCCAGTGAAGCCTTAGATGTGGGAAGTCTTCAGTCTCCTTAGCACATGCCTGTGGTTTCTTGAAAAGAATCCTGACTTGACCTGTTTTATATCTGTAAGGCAACACCATCATCACTCATATTTTTTAGGTATGATTTGGTTTATCAGTAGTAGAAGCAATTTCCAGCATGTAGCCTTAATGTGCAGCTGGAGAAGGGCTGTGTGCTGTTTTCAGGGTGGCTACTGTGTAATTTGCTGTACTGCAGTGTTCACTTGGAAAAGAAAATATGTGGGGTTCACTGTGCCTGTGCCCTTGCAGGATCAGCGGTGTCTGCAGCGGAGCAGGGCTGGGTGGGCACCGAGGGGCTGCGAAGGGAGACAGGCACTAGAGAGTTGGGTCTGGGTTGGGAAAGAAGCTCTGGCTGCTGTTTGAAAGAGCTAAGGGCCAATGCAAGGCCACGGTCGTTATTTTAACCTCCTGACTTCAAAGACAGCTTGCTGGTAAGGGAAGGGGGGGAGGAGGCAAGGAACCATCTCAACAGAAGAGCATTTCATTTCCTTCAGTGAAGTAGACATTCCTGGCTGCTAATGGGGAGTAGCTCTGAATCCCAGCGCTTGTATCAGACTGCTGTGAACTACTGGCCTGGCGCCCCAAGGCCATTCCTCAACAGGAAGCTGAATGTTTTCATGTAAGACTGAGAGGAAAACCTTCCCAGGAAGAGCAACCTGGACAAAACCTTTGAAAATCTGGGATGAAAAGGCACAAAATAAATATAAAGCTGCAGGGTGCTCTCCCCAGTGTTTCTCTGCTGTTTGCTTGGCCTCTCTTTCGTGCTCCTTGGAAAGGTAGAGCCCTTCGTGGCTCTTTGATCCGCACGTGTTACGGAGCACTGTGCTACTTTATAAAAAAAATAAAATAAAAAAAAAAAAGGCAGGAAGCTCAGAAGGCTTTTTTTAGTTGGGACATAGGCTGGTTTTATGAGGAAATAGGAACTGAATTAGTCAATACAGACCACCTCTGTTGAAACTGCTGGTTTGCCAGTGGACTTGTAGCTGTGCTGTTTAGGAGCTTTAAATGTCCTTTTGTGGCTACCAGCAGCAGGTGAAAATTATTCATTATGTGGTATTTGGGGGAGGAGTGTGTGCATCAAATAAGTTATACAGAACAGCTTGTTGTAAATTTGTGCTTGTCTTCTCTACCTTCAGCATCCTTAACTTTCCTTTCCACTATAACAATGGTCATGTGGGTGACCTGTGATGGGAGGAGTCAAGTTGCTTAGTAAGATTTTGGGGTCTCAGCTTACACTCATTAAAATCAAAGGGTACAAAATTGGTTTTGGAGGGTTTCTACCTTGGAGGACATTAAGCAATGTAACTCCTGATTCAGGAGCTGTACTCAGCCAGTATGGGTGAAATGCTTTGTGTTGTTGGCTTACAGGGAAGCTGCAGCAGATCAGAGGTGGGTGCTCAGTTATAAATGGCCCTGGTTTAAATACTGCTGTCATGTAATGTAAAATTTGCTGACTAATTCAGCTTGTGGGTCTTGCAGGCTCAAACAGTCTATCTATTTTGAGTAGTCTAACAAAAGTTTGACTTGTGGTTTAAACCATTTCTCCATAAACTTGTCCTGTCTTGCCCTGCAGTGATTCAAAGAGCTGGCAGTGTATCTTCTTTACGTGACTAAGCATTTTGTGGTTTTTTTTCTGGTGAAAATTCACTCACCTTCTCCACCAAACTGTATTCTTGTGCTAATTTTGGTCATTGAACCAACCCTCTACTTGTTTGGCAGCTGAGTAGTACATGGAGACCTAGAGGTTAATGTAGATTTTTTTGAGGCACTAATAATCCCAAAGCCATTACTGGAGAGCATGTGTCCATCTGTGGAAAAACATCTGACTCGTTAGACAGTTTTTGGGTGGAGGCCCTGTTACAACCCAGTTGTCTAGGTCAGAAGGGCAGGGTGATGGTTGAGTTAGCAATTCTGTAAGTCAGCTGATGTAACCCAGAGACCTAGTGATGAAGAACTGTTCCGCTCTGGATGAGCAATACTTATTAGGTTTGTAATGTGGGCCTTTTCATGTGCTCTAAGAACATAAATCCTTCAAAGATTCTAGGGAACTTTACTACTAGGTAAGAAGCCCATGGTTCTTACACAGCTGGAATATGTTCCCTGCACCACTGAAGAGGAGAACTAAACCTCCACAGTTGTGTGGATGCATGGCAGAGTCAGTGGTGCACACAATCCTCACCCACCACATTCCTCTACCAAACTGCTTACAGAAGACAGCATTTTTTCATTTCTGCAGGAAGTAGAACTCGAGGCTCTGAAGCAGAGGTTTCATTGACCTCAACCACTGCAGTACCAAAGCCTGAGGATGTCTAGTTTTGGAATGGATATCTGGGTCAAATCTTAGTAGATAAATGAAATCCATTACAAAAGGCAAGCACTTCTATAATGTATTGGATGCTTAAAACTCCACCTTTCTAGCTGGTGTCAACATCTCTTTACAATCCAAAGTATTCTCCATAAATATGCTTACAAACTTCACGCAAAAGTAAGTAGTAATTAACTCTGCATTTAACACTGCAAATGCACATTCCACTAATACAGTTGTGTCATAGAGTTACAGTGACTCACCACCAGCTTCTTTGAAGGATTAAAAAAAAAAAGGCTTCATATAGTCTTTATCACTCTCTCTCTCTCTCTGTCTCCCCCCTTCTCTGTAGGTGGGAAAAGAAATGCTTTCTCAACTTGCAAAGCAAAGGCGGCGACACCAGGACCCCTTCTGGAGATGGAAGCTTGTTAAACCCTAGGTGTGTCCTTCATCCACACAGACCACCCCCAAGGAGTCTGTCTAGGATGTCATTCACCCTGATGTCACTGCTAGAGACACTGAATCATAAAGACAATCACTGCCAAAATCCTTCACTATCACAAGGTCCAGCCCCAATATAAATAGAGCAAATGAGCTCCTGGGTCAGCAGAGCAGCTTTTGTCTTCACTCCACCTCTGCCTTGCACTCTTAAGCCCCCGTCTCATCTGTGTCCATATTGAGTCAGCAAACAAAGTAGCATGGCTGTCTCTGCCTGCTTCAGCCAGCAGAATAACGTAGACCACAGCTGCCCCATACAGCACATCAAGGAATGGAATTTGCCTGGACCAGGATGACATGCTCAACCTTCTTTTTATTTAATGGTGCGACAGGATCAATTTGGTTTTAGCTTTTTTAAGAAACTTGAATGCTTTTATATTTTAACTTTTAGTTTGTAATTTCTTTGGTGTATATTTTATTAGGTATGAGCTTTTAAACAAGTGTCAGAAATCTGAAATACTTTTTAAATAAAAGGAGTTTTTCTTTTTTTTTTTTTTTTTCTGCCAGAGGAAAAACCTGTATGGAAAAAAGGTGGCTGTTTTGTTAAAACTATTTGTAACAAATAGTGGCCTCTCAGTCTATATAATACAATGTCCTATAGAACTAAATAAATGTAACAACAGTCAGCTGGTCAGTAGACATGTTAGTCTTGCATCATCTACTCTGTAAACATAAGCAATACATCCAGCAAATCTGACTGCAGTGAGTTCTCCTTCTCACCCATTCCCCTTCTCCTTGTAAAAAGCCCAGCACTTGAATTATTACTTCAATTGTTCTGTATTTGTATCTGTTTTTGTTAGCCTGTTAGTGGGATTTTATGCCAGTTGTTGAAATGAGCATTGATGTACCCATTTTTTAAAATAGTAAGGCGCAGCCTTTGCCAAAAATACTGTCAACCAATTTTTTTTTGTCATTCCAGTTTGAGTTAATGTGCTGAGCATTTGTTTTTTAATAAAAGCTTTGTAATAAAACTAAAGTCAGTTGTCTTAAAAATTGGCTTAAAAAAATGAGAATGGCTTGTACTGGAATCCCTCAAAGGTAGAAGCAAGCCCAAGAAAGACACAGTCACTTTTAAGGCTGAAGACTTTTGGCTCAGTCTTCTCTTGTAGGAAATGCAGTGTATCTGTTTGCTTATCTGAAATGATTTTGGAAAATTACTTTCTCTTCGAAAAGTGAGCAGAAGTCTCAGTTCCATACCAGGAATAAGGAATGGGCAGGCTCAGTGCTTCTTTGTGTTGCTCAGTTAGATCTGGCCTAGGTGGAAGTACCAAGGATCCCTCTATCTTCAGTTTCCTAGCAAAAGCCTAGTGAACGTAGCAGTGTTTTTAAGGTGATGATTAAGAATATGGATTCCCTTCTTTCTGGATGCAGTCCATGCCCACACAAGATGTAGGAGCCTACAGTTAAATTTCTTATAGCTGTATAAATTATCCCGCAGTCAGGGACTGGAGCTGGCTGCAGAATCAGCTGTGGAGGGCCTGGTTTGATGGTGTTGGATGCAGTCAGCATGGCCTGCCTACTGCCAGTGGTGCCTGTGGGATGCTCCTGTCAGAGGAAGCAGCACAGCTGCCTCACTTTGACTAAAGGACGTCAAAGAAAAAAACCACTGTAGCCATAGATAAACTAGTCCAATGATTTGTGAGCACCCCAACAAAGGAAATACTATGAACTGCACATTGAATCAGCACTCTTTGTATTCCAGCTCTCAAATCTTGTTTGGTGTGAGACTGGACTGAGTCAAGCTTGAGCTACAAGAAATGACATAGGTGAGTTACTGCCTAAGGAAGCTTTGGGATTACATTGTTTATAAATGACCCTTAAACTCTGTTGCATAAGAAATTTCATAATTAAAAATGTTATAAAACAGCTTCCTCTTAAAGCAGTGTGCACTGCACACAAACCCAACTGTAAGGCTGTAACCAGCATATTAGTTCTTGCAATATTTATTTCTAGCAACTAGTGATTATGTTTAAAAAAAAACCCCCAAAATAAAAGAAAAACAAGTGACCAGGCTCTCAGATGGCAGGAGAAAATATCTCTGAGAGAACAGCAACTGTATACTGGAGTTTTGCAAGACTTGGCTACGTTTCCATTCCAGTCAATTATCCCAGCCTTTGCTGGAAACCTGTCTGGGTTTTGGTTTGGGGTTTGGTTTTGTTTTTAAAGGGAAAAAACCCAAGTGCTTAGTGCAGTAATTGTTCCAAATCAAGGATTACTGCAACGAGTTCTGTAAATTACATGTTCCAAAGACAACAGTTCTTTTTAGAACTTTATAAAACACAACTACTTTATTTACATTTTTAATGGCTATTTTAAAAGCCATTTACCCATTCTGAAAAAAAATTGTTCCCAATAGAGGTATGAGCCTTATGCAGCACATTGTCCCAAATACACTACGCTGTGAACAGTTGCCTGTCTTAAGGACGAAAGGTCTTTCAGCCCTAATAGTGAAGGAGAAAAAGAATTTGGGAGCTAAAAATAACATCTCTGCTGTTAGCATCCAGTGAACAGGCACCATGTGTTGGGTTCATTCATAGATCAAAGACCTTTCACACACAGCAACTATGGGAAAGGTTAACTAATATGCAAGGCTTAGTTAGGATACTGCCATGAGAGCACCTGAAACAGAGAAACCACACTGGGTCACTCCTGCCCTCCACTGCTAATCAGCATTTGCTCCTGCAGGACCAAACGAGCAAACTGACATGGGCCCTCACTGTACTGTGCCAGCTTGTCAGTGGAGACAGATGAGCTTGTAAAAATGGCCTGGTGTTGCTGGTGTTACCCTGTCAGTAAGACTAGGTTTAAATCCTTGTGATACAGAATAAATTATTCCAGGTGACACTCAAACCCAGCACCTAAATTCCTGATGTGCAATTGAGGCAGAAGTCAGCATCTAACCATGTCTCTTTTGGGCACCTGAGGAGATGATTACCCTGCATTTACCACAGAAAACACCTTTAAGGATTTAAACACTCCTACCTAACAGCTGAGGTAATTATCCAGACAGTTCTGTACAAGCATTCACAAAGCTCTCTCCCCCTATACTTCACTCTGTGCATGTGCTAAAAGCAGTTCCTGCACCACTCATGGTACGGGTGGTCTAGTTCATAAACACAGAAATATCCCATACCTAGAAAACATGCATCCTTCCCCCTCCCCTCCCCAACACAATAAAGAGCAGAGACAGAACGGGGGGGTTGAGCCAGGATTATTTACAGCTAATCAGGCCAACATCACAGGATAGTATAGCTCTTCTGGGTCACCTGGACCAGAGCCATTTCCCCTCTGTTACATAAAAGAACAACACTTCAGGCTAACTTTTGGCTTCTTAACACAGCAAGTGATGACAAATTCACTAGCTGTGCTTATAGGATCTCACCAGCTCTACAGAATTATCTTCTTTTGTAGTTTCTGCTTTAGATTAGCTAATAGAAAAGGCAGAAAGTTGTACAAGTTATAGCTTGGTGGTGAGGTCAACTTTCAACAAATATGGGGCCTTAAGGACCCAATCCTTGCTCCAGGCAGTAGGACAGCAGAATCCACAACATCAGTCATCTGCACTTCTTTGAAACCACTAAAGTGCACAGGGCTTTGAAGCAACCATTCCGTTTCCTGGTGGCCTCCTGCTCTGATCTACTTGGCAGCTAATTAGGCTAAAGGAAGACTGGGAGAAAATGAAGGACACTGCAAAAATTAAGAGCAGTTTGCTCCCTTCACTCATGAGGGGACTAACGTGCCAGGAAGCCTCTCCTCCAGCATAAGGACCTCAACCAAAGGAGAACATTATAGGGAAAAAAGCAACTCTACAAATAGCCAGAAGCCTGTCAGCTATGAACACATTTCTCCTAAGTCAGGTCAGTGAAAGACTGCTGGGCTAAAAAGGAAGTTACTTAGCCAAAAGGAGAGCAGCTGTAACAGGAAAATGGTCAGTCATAAACACATTCCGAGACGAAGCCAAAAACCTAGAAAGTGTGCCCGAACACATTCATTTTTCCACACGCCAGGCCAGGAAGAGAAACTCTGAATTAATGTATGAATTCACTCTCTGAGTCCCCTCACAGATACAAAGACCAGCTTTAGAAAGCAAGCAAGCAAGCAAGCATCTGCAGCCTCAGGAAAAGGGACATACCTACCAGAAATGCAGGAAACAAACCTCTTAATCACCAGCTTTTGGCTATGTCAAAGCATGGACTAAAATACTGCTCCCCATCCTCCCAGGTAAATACTCATACCTTCAGGCCATGGGTTTTAAATGATGTCTCCTCTCTGGCTGGCATACTCCTCCTGCAACAACCATACCTTGACTGAATCACACAAGTCTGCTTGGCTGAGATAACAGTCACTGCATACCTGGTCTGGGATACTAAGGTTTGCTTCCTATGAATGATGTTCTACAAAACACATTTTGATAAACTCACCCATCGCACTTCCACAAACCCAACACATACAAGGTAAGTGACAGGTTTGTTCTTCCCTGGAAAATCATCCTGAACCAGCAGAGCTAGGAGAAGAATTTCCATCTGCTTCACACCAGAAGAGCAACTCGCCCAAGAACTGGTCTGTCCTGTTTGCTGGAAAAAAGGTAACTATGACAAAGTAAAATCTTCTGCAGAATGAGAAAAATACCATACTCCACAACTTAATGGTGGTCAAGACACTTATTTGGAGAGGCAACTCTCTGAATTTGGACTCATTTCCTACAGCTAAGAAAAGTGGCTAAAAACCCTATAGGATATCTATTAGGCTGGCTAGGACCATCTCTGTGTCATTTAAGACAGAGAGAAAAAGCCACAGAAACAAGGACTCAGGTCTTGACAAAGCAAAATGCTGTAGAAGGGTTAGTTTCCATCAGCACAATGTGGCAGTGACTGCATCCCTTGACTGAGATGAAGTTCCAAAGCCCAAGATGGACAATATCCTTACATGCTAGTTGTTGCTTTTGCTACCCTGAAATATATTTCTTTCTTCCCTTCTATGAAATGTTTTATTTTGTCATGAGTAACATCATCAGCAACAACTTCTTCCACTCCACCCAATCATAAATTAGATAGGCAGTAATCATATTTGTAAACAAATCATGTGGCAGAAGAGCTATTGCTTTTTTCCTGTAGGAACCTGCTAGCTCAAACTCTACTCAATGTTTTAGTACAATATCCTGAACGAATTAACAATCAAACCACCTTAATCTAATATCCTTCAGCAAGTTTAACTGTGAGTGGTTTTAGGCACTGTTTGAAAATTCAAATTTTATATGAAAGATTTTGCATATGGTCTAAAGTTTCCCTTTGTGTGGGACTGGTATAACCACATGACCCAGAAATAAAACCACTTGCAGCACTCAGCTAACCACTGAGCAGTCTAATTCTGCCTATACTGGTACTCTAAAGCAGTTACTCCCCGTATTTAATTGGTTTTTTAAATTTAATTTACTGAAATTACTTACTGAAACAGAATAGCAAGCAGTTTCTCAATATCTAAGCAGTTTATTCCTTTCTTCCTCTGGTCCATTTGATTTCACTCCTGCTCTAGGGTTTCTCCCTCTTCTCCCTTCTCTCTTGTGTTTGACTGACTCCTCTGCTCTTGCCCTGTCCTCGTGGACAGTCCAGGTTCCCTGCTGATGGAACAGCACTGCTAAGTGCTCTTGGAAGCACTGTCCCCTTTCCAGTGACCTAATGCTGGATATCCTAGGAACCTGAAAAGATGGACTTAAATCTAGCACAGGTCTAACACCTATACTGTATTTTCATTCTGTCCAGTTTGGAAATATATTGAAGGAGGAATGGGGGAAAAGACTATTTTCTAGTCAACTGAAGGAAAAATTTCCCCATAGATCTGTTGCCCAAGCACATTTCAAGGATGGTACTTCCTTAGCTCACAGCTATGATTATATGTAAGTCATGTAAACCACACACAGAAGAATTAAGGGCTATCTTAAATGAGGTGCATTCAGTTACACTGCAGGTATAGT